TAAAGATCAAAAAAAAAAAAAAAGAAAAAAACAACCACTTATTAAATATTCATTAAAAGAAGCAACTTCGTCCGAATTTATGACAGATGCGCTAGCACTAGTTTCGACACTCTTCCATACATTCACATCAAAGACCATGTGCGTGGCAAAATGCCATTTTCTCCACATATTTTTTGTCAGAAGTCTTAACCTCTGGTAAATCAAATTTACCCATTTTTTTCACACTGCTGTTTCCAGTTGTATTTTTGTTCTAAAAATTTCCAGGAAGTGATTAAACCCAAAAACGCTCACCATTTAATGCCCAATCACGCTCTGACTGGCTTTTATCGCCATGAATACATAGCGCCGGCCAACCGTCTCGGCGCATCCAGCGTGTCAACTCGTCTGCTTTGCGTTTCGTTTCCACGAAAATTATAGTTTTACAGTCCTCCTACAACGTTATTACATGAAGCTTTCCTGCTCATCAAAATCAATACTGAGAAAGAATTGCACCGGAAGACGGCTGGTGAAGTTGCTTTTGAAAAAGCGCATGTGACGGAGAAGCAGTGAGAGAGACAGAGAGAAGCAACTCGCAGTAGGAGGCCTTGGCTTCTTTCCAAATGAAGGGCGGTTGCATCTCAGTACCGCGGAAGGCTCGAAATCAATATCCTAAAAGTCGGAATCATGATTACTGGGGCACCTTTCCGGGCCCAAATGGACATGAATACTCGCCGCGCACTGAATGGCTCTATTCCTGCTGAGCACTAATGAATAAATGGCCAGCGCATCGGCTGTCGGTACGAAGATGCGTTTTCTTCATAGTTCCCCGCAGATTTTTTTCGCCAACGTCACTGGTCTTTCCAACAGATGCTTGTAGCTAAAAGAATTGAGACTGGCCGCCAGGACTGTCACGAAAAATCCCTTTAAAATACTAGCTTCCTAGCTTTCCTGGTTCCCGAGTTAGCAAATTGCCAGCAAAAAAATTTACGGGCCATGCATACCCGGGGCTGGGTTTGAACTCATTAATACCCACGTAGACGAGGAACATCCCTTTAAAGCTCCACTCTTCTAGTTTCTCAGGTTCCCCAGTTAGCGACTTACTCGAAAAAAACTTTCACAAATCCGTACATGGGTACCACGCGTAGCCGATATCTGGGCATGAGCTCATTAACACCTACTTGGGCGAGAACATTTCCTTAAAATTAGAGTCTCCTAGCTTTTCAGGTTCCCAAATTAACAACTTACCACGAAGAAACTTTCACGGACCCGTACGCGGGTACGACGCGTACCCGAGGGCTGGGTTTGAACTCATTAAGGCCTACGTGGACGGGGAACGTCCCCCTAAAATTTCAGCTTTTCAGCTTCTCTGGTTCCCGACTTGGCAAATTGCCCTCAAAACTTTAGCGGGCTCATATGTGGGTACAACGCGGGTTAGACCGCCCATTTTGGGGATGAGGACCCGTACATGCATGTAGATTAATTTCGCGAAGTTTCAGCATTGCAGCTTTTGCAGGTCCCAAGATGAAAACACACAGACAACCCGTTGTAAAATATGTGTTTTCTGCATTGCATAGATGCAAAAAACGCATAAAAAAGGGTTGCTTAACGGATAATACGATACCTAACAGACATTCGGATAACGGCATGTGACGAAACACTTCCTCCATAAAAACCATCTTTTCAGGCTCAACAGCAAGATGCGGAGGACCCTTTATTTTTTTTAAATTTTTTAGCTCAGCCTTCCTCCTTTCTCAATCCGGGCATTTTCCTTTAACTACTTCCCACTCGGTTCCAGGAACGTAAAATCGCACTGTACACTTTCACTAGTCTTCCGAAGAAAATGATCACTGGAAGGTAAGGTGCAACATTTCTGTGGCGCTAACCGTACCTTGTTCATAATATCGCTGAGCATGGACATCAGGCGTTGCTGCTTACTAGATTCGTCAATGATTTCAACAATTTGCGTGATATTATGATTTGCGGACAATTCCAGTGAGCCAACGTTTAGATGCACTGCATCGGTCAAGAAATCCATCGCTAATTTACGGACATCTTTTGGCCAAGTTGCCGAAAACATTAACGTCTGTCGATC